AAACCCACTGAAGTTTTTTAAAATTTTGTTTTCTAAGACAATGGTGACTTCTCAAGGACATTTTAGGTCATTTCACATCAACAGTAAAGCAGAGGTTGATTGTAGATGATTATTGCTTTCTCTTGGTTTGTCTTCATTTACCTTTAAAGTTTTTGTTCACATTTCAGTGATGTTGCTAATCACAGTGTGCAGAGCGGTACTATTAAGTCACAGCACTGGGGTCATGGTTAGATGTATTTCATTATCAAGTTTTATGGACCCATATAGATAATGTTTTAAAGACAAGTTGGTATTTGTTAAATTCAGTAGAGAGATTCAAAATGTTTAGTCACTTACTAGAAATAGATGCTAACTTGTTGTTGTTAACTCTTTTATCAGAGTTTTGTCAGGTGTGGGGAAAGTGCCATAAGTGCCACACTAAAAGTGAGCAGTTTGGCTAATCTGAAAGTCACCAACACCAAGCCAACCTTCACAACCAAGCTGGACAAATCACATTGCTAGCCAGCTTTGCTTCCTTATCCTATGCAGAACTCTGTGTTGATGACAAACAGCTCTGTAGATGTATTTTTAAATAGAATTCTCAGCATAAGGAACCATCAGTTTCTGACTTGCTGTTCTGCTTCCAGGACTAGGTCACTATACTTGGACTTCTGAAATCAAAGGTATTGGGATTAACGTAGAACTCTGCAGTCATAGTACTAAAAATAACAGGATTCTCTCTATGATTTCTGTTGACTTTCGTCACTTCTGGCAGATATGGATGTCATTGAGTGCTCCTTGCAGTTTCCGGACGATGACTACTCCTGGTGGGACCTCTTCATGAAGATATGTGTTTTCATCTTTGCCTTTGTGATCCCAGTTCTCATCATCATTGTCTGCTACACGCTGATGATCCTGCGCCTGAAGAGTGTCCGGCTCCTCTCTGGCTCCCGAGAGAAGGACCGCAATCTCCGCAGGATCACCAAGCTGGTGCTGGTAGTGGTGGCAGTCTTCATCATCTGTTGGACCCCCATCCACATCTTCATCCTGGTGGAGGCTCTGGGCAGCACCTCCCACAGCACAGCTGTCCTCTCCAGCTATTACTTCTGCATTGCCTTGGGTTATACCAACAGCAGCCTGAATCCTGTCCTTTATGCCTTCCTGGATGAAAACTTCAAGCGCTGTTTTAGGGACTTCTGCTTCCCTATTAAGATGCGAATGGAGCGACAGAGCACCAGCAGAGTTAGAAACACAGTCCAGGATCCTGCTTCCATAAGGGATGTGGATGGGATGAATAAGCCAGTATGACTAGTCGTGGAGATGTCTTCCTACAGCTCTCCGGGTAGAGAAGAGTTCAATGATCTTGGTTTAACCCAGATTACCACTGCAGTCTGAAATGGAAAGATGGGGTGTTTGATATCACAAACATGTCATGCTCTAATGTCTTCAACTGCAGAACACATCAGTGATCTAGCTGAGTAGGGGCAGCAAGTCTGAAGAACAGAGCACAGGAGGTCCTGGCAACAACAGGGAAGCCATTCATAAGCAAAGATAAGACTCTTCATTCTGGTTCACTTGGTTTAGTTCACCCCCATCTGTTTGGCCTTCCTGTGCAACAGTTCCAAAACTCTGGAGAAGAAAATAAAGGAAAAAGCAAAGCGAAACCAAACCATTGTATCCAAAGCTTAGTAGACACCAAACTTACCTGCTACCACTGACAGAAGCAACCTCAGCTAGACTGAGACCATACCGATGCTCACACCCAGTTCATACCCTGCTGGGTGGATAGGTTTCATGTGTGAAAAAGAACACATCTTTGGAAGAACTTGGACTCAGACTCTTGGCACTGTACAAGTTCATAATGGTAGAGAGCATCATCTTGAAATTTGTGAACTTGTTTAAAGTTGTGAATGCTCTCTTCTCAGAGTGTTTAATGCCTTGAATACTAGTTTGCTCCTTCAGATATCCAGGGTTTTAGCATGATATTCAGGTAGATAATCCTTCTGAGCAAAGACGTGTGGATGTTAGGAACTATGAGGTATATATACTAACAAAGTGTGTGTAGTATCATTTGTAAGTAGTCTGTATGTAAATAAGGAACAGGCTTCCTGCCCAGCCAGGACATTTCTCAAGGCTGCTGCAGTGATACCCCTCGAGGCATGGAGCATTGATGCTGAGATATTTTGCTGCAATGTAAGCTTTTTTGGGACTCAGTCATGGTGTGATTTCTTCTGGATTCCTCAAGCATCATTTATGCTAAAAATGCTAATAACTTGGAATTAACAAATCCCCAAACTTTGAATTCATTCTAAGATGGTAGTTTTGGTCAAATCTACTTTGCGGTAGCATCTGTTTGTAAACATACACCTATTGCCAGATTCTCTACTCAGGTAGAGCAAATTGTTTTGATCACATGAATCTTCAGCTTTTATGGTCTGGCTTTCCACAGGAAGTAGAATTGTTTCCAAATACATGCTGAAGATGGAAATGAGGCTTGAGATGCATGAGCACAGCTTGCATGGTCTTGGGTAAAGGTGTGCCGTGGAGGTTACTGTCTGAAAAGCCCATTTAGGATAATTTTGCTAATCTTCCAAATGACACATAAATTCTCCTTCTTTAAAACTTATGGTTCAGAGAAAAGGAGGGTTTTTTTGTAATTTGACTTGAAAGAAGAAGGAAAGGGTAATTTAGAAGTAACACCCATTTCTAAGCTTGTATGTGGTTAAGGCAGCACCCCTTGGAGTCTAATAAGGCATCTAATGTGTGGACCTGGATGCTGTAGGCAGAGGTCCATCTGTGAGTTCTCACCACCAGCTGCCTCACTGGTGCTGCTCCCTCTCTTTCTGGAGACTGAGGCCCGCATGCAGGTATGACACACTCTGCAGAGTCACTGTCATTAAGTTTATCTCCATTCAGGACTTTTATGCTACTGAATTCGATGGTGACCAGTGACATTGCGGAGACATTTTCTAATGGAAATAAAGTGCTTTTTTCAGTACTTCTTAGATTTCACTGCATACCGAGCTGCTCTGGAATTCTGTAATAACACAAAGCTGGAATATATCAAGCAAATGTATTCATGTAGATTTAAGCATGGAGGCTAACAGAGAAAGTCAGACATGTGAAAGGGAGGCAGGGGCATGCCCTAGAGTGTAACACAGTTCTCTGGAAACTATTTACTATTATTATTATTATTATTATTATTATTATTAGTGTGTATGCGTGCATTGTGGCATGCATGTAGAGGTAGAAGCTCCTGTTTCTTTTACATGGTTCTGGGGATGGAACTCACATTATCAGACTTACATTGTCAGGTGTTATGTGTCATTGCTCACTGTCTTATCTTGCCAGCCCAGGCCACAGCTTTCTTAAAGAGCAAGTCAACACCCTTGCATTCTTATAACTGAATATATAAATAAGAATGACTTAAATATTGGGTGACACTAACCCAGTAGTTAAAAATGTAGGCCATTATACTAAAGGGACATGTATGTGAACAAAGCAGTTCCAGGAACAGATACTACTTAAGTAGGCAATAGAAATGCTTCCATAGCACTGTAAGATGTGAGGGATGTTGATAGATTCCCCAGTACCAAATACAATGGAGTTACCACATCACCATGGAATGGAGTTATAATAGTGACCTCTTTAAATTAATGCTCTCCTGATATCCCTGCTTCCTGCATTTCTTGATCCCATGGATGGGGGTAAGTAGCTTTGCGGCCCTTGAATGTATTCTGAGCTTCCCCTTGACCCAATTGAAAAACAGATGACAGCCACTTTGGAGCACTAGTTCAGAGAGTGGCAAAGAGACTCACACACAGGAGGGAAAGTATCAATTACCTACGTGTATTTTATTGTTGAAGGATAGATATGTGCACATATACATGATCCTATATGTGAAAGAGAGCAGGTGCATACATGTGTGTACACATGTGCAAGATACTAGGAAGCAGTGGTCATACTGCCATGCTTGATTGTTTCAAACAGTGCTTTAGTCTAACCCCATGGTCCTCAAGTGGCTCTCCCTCTCAGAGGTGCCCTGAAGGCTCTCCCACCACACAAAAAGCAGTTGTTCGCTATGTCTGTAACCTTAAGAACAACTCTATCTGGACTTAATCTTCCCACTTTAGTGACAACTTTTGAAAAACAAAAATTCTTTAGAGAAATCAAGAATTTTGGGGAAGGGGGCTTAATTTTGTGGCCGATACAAGTTGCTAAACTTGTATCCAGAAATTTATATGCATTCCATTTGATACATAAGATGAAAGAAACGAGGAATACATTGGAAGGTTTTAAATGGAAGGATTAAAAGGAAAACCAATGGCAACTCTGGGTGGCCATTCCACAAGATTTGTTTTGTAAGCAAGAGCTTGGTATCAGTATGAAAGTCTCACAAGGTTACAAATTGGCATGGGCCATGACAATTTTCCTCTCTGAAAGTAAAGTGTGTTCTTTACCATATGGATATTGTTTATACCTTATACTGATAGTAATTATACATTGTATATATGATTGTATGCCTTGTAATAAAACCAAATTGTACCTGCTAAAAATCATAACCCTTTGCTGCTAAGTCATTTGTTCTTCAGTGACTTCAGGAAACCTCCCAGACCCAAGAATAGAGTTAACTGTTCCTCAAAACTCCATGTGTCACTAACTTTCCACCCATTAGAGTGTGGAGAGGGCTAATGGAACACAATAAAGCAAACCACAATCTTTGATTAGTAGACCCGTGGAATAACTTAGGAAAATTAGCCTGTTTTCATCATAATGCTACCAAGATCCCAGAATCAATGTTAAGCACTGTCTTTCCAACAAGACTCCATTTAAAAAATATGAACACATACAAAGTCCAAAAGTTAACCATTCTGACAAAAATAATGTAAATTAGACTCAGCCTACAAGTGCACTCAGTTTCCTGCCCTTCTGTCAATATAACAGCACATCATTACTGCAGTCTGCTTCTTGACCATGTATCTGTTCACCTAAGAAATAAGAAATTTTAAAATCATTCCAACATTCTGAGACAGAGTTTTATGTAGCCCTTGTTGGGTTTGAAATCACTTCAGAGCTGGGGATGACCTTGAACTTCCAATTATCCTAACTCTATCTTCTAAGTGCTTAAATTATAGGCCTGTGCCAATATACCAAATTGTCTGTGATGCTGAAGATTGAGCACAGGATTTCTTGCAGGGTGTGCAAGCACTCTGCTAATTGAGTTTCATCCTCAGTCCTAAAATCAGTTTCTGTAGAAAACACTCTTGCAGGAAGCAACATAAACCCAAGCAAGTAAAAGAGAATTGATATAATTTGTTGTTAAGAACTCACTCATGGGTAATTTTGATGTAGCAAATTCATTATTAATGTTTATCTGTGACCAATAATTTAATTTTATAAGTTATTAGAATTTAAAGTTAAACTTCCATATCTATTTTGGTAGATTCTTTGGCCTTTTTCATAAAACAGGGTCCAAATTTGGAGAAAATCTGAGGGAATAGGGTATGAATAACTTTTCATTTGAAATAAGATTCTTCCTTTTTCTTAATGATGTACATTCTGCACATTGACAGTGTGTGTGGACTGTGACTAGGTTCTTATTTTCTAATGAGAATGTTAATATATTTAGATAGAAAACTCCAATGTGCAATGAATTGTAGGCACTTTGAGCCAATGGTCTCTGCATGTATAGAGACTGGGAAATGTTGTAAATCAAGCCACCAAATAGTCTAATTAATTTTCTTCAGTAGTGTGCTTAACAGAATATTTATATACATCAAGAACTATGCTTGAGTCTGCAAAAATAGAAGTAAAATAGAGAATATTCTGATACATATAATCTGTGAACAACCAAGTAAGCAAGAAAATGTAGAAGCATGTAAGAGTGGCACAAATAAGGAATTATACATATGCTGTACATATGGCATACATATACTATACATATGCACATAATGCATGTACTATTTACATACTTTTCTAAAAGAAATGCTATATTTACCTAGATATGTTTTTAAATTGCTATGTTTATAACTTTATGATATACTAAATTAGTAAAAATGATAACAGCTATTCCAATATTTAGAGGCATTTAAAATGATAACTACTGCTTAATAACATAAGTGACTTATTTATAGTTCTTGGGAATCCTAAAATAGCCTGGGCCACATACTGAGGCCATGTATTAAAACTCACAATAATAATAATAATAATAATAGTAATAATAATATAACTACAATAATAGTGTCTCATCTTACTTAACCAAATGTGATGGTTATTATTCATTGTCAATGTGATTGGGCTTAAAACAC